GAGCTCGTCTCGGAGGCCTGGGACAGCTGCTGCAGCTGCCCGTTGGTCACTGCAAAGGCATAGTGGGGACATGGGGTGACACACCGTGGGGCCACGGGGAGCTCCGCATCGACCCTGAGGACAGGGGACATGTGGGGACCCACAGGGCCACAGGGACTGCAGGGCTGCTGGTAGTGACGTGGGGAGCTCTGTGTCTCCTACAACGGTCAGGGGACATGTGGGGTCCCATAGGGTCATAGTGACCAGTGGGCTGCTGGCCATTGCATAGGGATCTTTATGTCCCATCCAAGGATGGGGGACAGGTGGGATCCTGCGAGACCATGGGGACTGTGGGGATGCTGACCGTGGCACAGGGAGCTTCACGCCCCCTCCAAGGCCATGGGACCCCACGGCACATGGACCTTCTCCCTCCTCACCAGAGCCGGATACCCCTTGCATGGGGGTCCCAGCCCCTCCACGCCCCAGCCCGGTGTCCCTTCTGGTACCCGCGCGGCACTACCCTTACAGTGACTGAGCCAGCAGTACTCGGCGACCATCTCCTTGTAGGCAGGGAACCGGCCGGTCTCCTAGGCACAGGGGGAGAGGACATGGGGGTCAGTGTGTGCCGGCTGCCCTGGGCGAACCTGATCCGGTGCCAGCCATGAATAATGCATCCCCCCCTCCCACCTGCCTGAAACTCAACCAGCCGGCGGCTGCACCAGCCCCATGGGCACCAGGCCGAGCTGGGGCAGTGCCAGCATGGGGATCCACTGCCCCCTGTGGGGCCGGGCACGTGTACCTTGATGGTTAGCATGATGTGGGTCTGCCCCTTGAGCACCTCCACTGCCTTGCTATGGCTTATGTCTTCAAACTTGACTCCGTTGGCTGCAAGGACTTGGTCTCCCACCCGAATGCCATTCTGCTCCGCCAGCCCCCCGGGGTCCACCCTAGGGCAGCAGAGGGGGGCAGGATGGGGCCGAGCCCTTGCCGGAGCCCTGCTCCTACCCCACACCTCTGCCTGGGTGGCCCCACGCCCCAGCACCCATGGCGGTGATGCCCACAGTCTTATGAGGGTGGGGGGCTCAGACAGGGAGGGCGTGCTGAGCCCCAGCGTGGGCACAGCAGGGATCGGGGTGCCACATCCCCCTCATGCCCCCCAGGGCAGCCGTACTTGGAGACATAGATGCCAAGGCCGAACTCCCTGCCGCCACGGATGTTGAAGCCCAGGCAGTAGTCGTCGGAGGTGGTGTAGAGGTGGACAATGCGCCGCAGCCCGTCCTCAGAGCCGCTCTCCGATGGTGTCGAGCCACTTTTCTCTACCACCAGGCGCCTGTTCACCACATCCACCCTGGAGCATGGGCACAGCGTTGGGAGGGACTCGGGGGTCTGGCTCTCGTTCTCCAGTGGCATGGGGACATTGGTGTCACCCAGTGGACAAGAGTGATGGGGATGGGGAGGATGGGGCTTGCACCCACCCTGCCTGCTCCAGACCTTCCTATCGCATCCTGTGCCCTACTTTGGACTCTCCCCACCTTCGCTGGAGACCTCCGATGCCCCCCCACCCTGGGGGTCCCCCAGCATCCCCCACCAAGCCTTCCCACCCTGTCCTCCATGAAGCTGGGCTTTGGGATGCTGGCACGGGGGACACCCTGCTCACCATGCTGTCTTCTCCTTGGAGAACTTGATGCCTGGCACGCGGCCCATCCGCCGGACCACCATGCGGAGGCGGTTGTTGCCAGTGAGGACCTTGACAGCGCTGCTCATGGTGATGTTCTCCAAGCTTACGCTGTTCACCTCCGTGATCTTGTCACCAACACACAGCCCGGCCTGCTCTGTGAGGGGCACACAGCTCGTCTGGGCACCTGACCTGGCACCGATGCCCTTGTTTGGCATCCGCTCCCTAAATGCATCCCAAACCTGATCCGAACCCCATGGGAACAGAGGTTGGGATGCCCAGCAATTGCACCAAGGCTGTGGCAGGCATGGGGGGCTTGTCACCTCACTGTGGCTTGGGGATGGAGCTCAGAGCCATCAGCATGGGGCTGCCCACTCCTGTCCCCCGCCCTTCTCTGTGGGAAGCCTGAAAACTCCATGACCAGAGGCAGCAGGGACCAAACGGTGGCTTGCCACGATGAAGGGTGGCATCGCTGCTGTGGCACCATGTCACTGGGATGTCCCCGAGAGGGTCCTGCTGGCACGTGCCAGTCCCCACCGGCGTCCCTCACCCTGTCCCACTTACCGGCAGCGCTGCCCTCCTCCACCTTGCTGACGAAGATGCCCAGCCCGTGCTCGGAGCCACCGCGGACGCTGAAGCCCAGCTTGCCGTCCACGCTCTTCTCCACCGTGATGGCGTTGATGATGTCGCTCTCGTTGCTGCTGGCTGTGGGGACAGAGGACGGGATGCGTCACCCGGGCTGGATGCGAGCAATGGCGGGGGGTGTCTCTCTTGCTGGGGCTGTCTCCGGTCCCAGGACAACTCTCCCTGCCCGCAGACCCAGGGAACTCAGGCGTCCGCCCCCCGCCCCGGGCAGGGGGCTGGGAGGGCACCCCACTCACCTTCGATGGGGGTGTTGATGAGGATGACGCGGCCCATGGGGGAGGCGGCGCGGCTGC